GGGCCAAAGAGACCCCTTTTCCTAGCACTCCCCTGACTTCCCAGGCCAGGGGAGGGTTGTAGGAAGGGTGATCAGGCAGGTCTGGTCACCCTGGCAACTCAGGGTGAGGTGGGACAACCTTGCCTGCTCTACTGAGCCAGTCTCAGCAGATGGGGACCGTCCAATGAGATGTAAATAAAACATTCTTGTGGTGCAGAGCAGCTGCAGGGGGCTAGACCCCTATCAAGTGGAAGTTTGGTGAAATGTCTGCTCAGCGAGAGAGAGAGAGAGAGAGAATATGTGAGAGAGAGAGAGAGAGAGAGAGAGTGTGTGTGTGTGTGTGTGTGTGTGTGTGTGTGTGTGTACTGTTCATTCCAGCTACCACCTACACTAGATAGAATGAAAACTGCTTCTCCCTTCCCCCTGCCTCTTCTAAAAGGAGAGCCAACTCTGAACTGTGTCAGAGGGTTTGGCCTGTGGCTGTGGCTTGGAGATGCTAAATTCCACACTTTTGTGCCTCCCTGTTCTGGGAGGACTGGACGTCCTTGAAGGAGGCTGTGTGGCTTGTGCAGGCCATGGGACTGTTGGGGTAGAACTGGACATGTGATCATTGACAGGTCACTGGCTGTCTCTGTCTCCATTTCCCTGACTAATAGAGAATTTAGATGTTCTCCAAGATCCATTCCAGCTCTCATGTCTCTAGTTCTTACCCTAACTGCCTCTTCCCACCCCTGATTTCACTCTGGTGACATCACTGCTGCTGCACATTTGGGCTGTGAAAGTTTTGCCTCATTTCTTGTCATCCTGGGATCTTGCCTCCATGTGGGGCTTTTGTCAGGGTGCCAGTGGCCCCAGCCATCCTTCTGTGCCCCTTTCACCACCCTGGATGTCAGCAAGCCTCCTGCACTTTGTAGGGACTCTGCAGAGATTCAGGGTGAGCGCAGTTGGTGGAGTCGGGGCGTCGGGAGGGATACAACCCAGCATAGGCCCAGGGGCTGTTCCCCATTTCCCTGAGCCATTGCTCCTGAAGGAGCCTCCTCCTGATGACAGAATCCCTCTCTTCCCCAGCTCTGGAAGCGCTTTCCAGTAATGTGCCGCCTACCCGCAGGCAGGGAGCCAAGAGTAGATCTCAGACCTTCCTCCTCAGCCTGGGCCGGCCCTCCCCTCCCCTCCCCTCGGTCCCAGAGAGCCCATTAGGGCCTAGAGCTCCTTCAGCTCACTGAGCACCAGAGCCAGAACAGGAAGGCCAGGGAAACCAGCTCCAGGAACACAGCTCCAGCCCCAGGTATTCTGGAGCTGGCTGAAGGAGAAGGAAGTCCCTACGCTGTAGTCAGGAGGGACACAGCTCGTTTTTCTTGTGTCCAATAGAATGCCAGCTGTCTGCCTGGTCATAGAGGCTCCAAGGTCTGGAATAGCATGACCCTCCCCATCAGCTGCTTCAGAGGTTCAGAGTCTGAGTCACCTCAATATCCCCAGTGTCCATTATGGCCTGGTTCAGAGAAAATACCGAGCTTTGAGTAAAGAATTAATTAGCGCTCTCTGCTACAAGTTTGAGACCCCTAAGCTACAATAGAGGGTTCTCCCTTCGACACTAGGGAAGTGCCGTAACCAGCTTTGTCTTCTGCAAAATGGGGACAATACCCATCCCAAGGGCTGTGGTGAGGACTGACTGAGAGAGTACGTTCCAGGCTCCCAGCACAGTTCTGGCTCATGGGATGCCTTCAGAGCTGAGGAACCTTCTTCATGTTGCTGCTCTTGGCTTGTTTCACATGCCTGTCCCCTCCCCAGGCAAGAGCTGTGGCCAACTCTTGTCTGGGTCTCCCAGGCATTATATGGTGATTTATGGGGCCAAGAAAGCTCTGTGGATTGGGTTGATGGCACAGAGTGGGGGTAGGAGGCATATTTAGAGCCTGACCTCTTAGGTGGAGATGGAAGCCATCATCTGCCTGCCCTGGACTAGCTCTTTAGACTGTGCCTTCTCCGAAGGCAGCTGATGGTGCTAATACCAGGGCAGGGGCAGGGAGGCTGTGGAGATGGGTCAGCGCAGCTGGCTGGAGCTGGACTTCTGGCCTTGGGAAGCTCTTTCTGACCCCTGCCTGTAGGAGCTCTGCTGTCTCATGCCTGCTTATCCCCGCTGCACTGTGTCTGACTCCCCTCCAGCATGCTGCAGGTCTTTGGGGTGTTGTGCCATTGTCTTGTCTCAGCTGCTTCTGCCTGGGTTGTCTGACTGACAACCAGAGAGAGAGAGAGGAACCTGGGAGATGACTGTGGATTGAAGATGATGAGAGAGGGAGGCACCAGAAGATTCCTGCCCTACCTATGCAGACGTGGTGGTCAGGGAACGCTTCCTGGGGGAGGAGGCAGGCAGAGGATATGGTGTCAGTCACATACAGTGGGGGTAGAGGTAGAGGCATGATTTTCTAGAGGGAGGAACTAGACTAGGCAAAGGTTGGCAGACAAAAGAGGATGTGGCTCATATGGGGCAATTGCAAGGCATTTGGCAAGGCTGAAACCTGAGTTGACAGTGGGGAGAATGGGACATGAGGCAAGACCAGATGACAGGGGCAGTGCTGAAAATGTGGGCTTTGTATTCTACAGCAAGAGAGACTTGGGCCCAACATGACTAGCCCTTCCCAGGGGACCAGCCAGCTACACACTGGATGTTGACTGGTGGATGGTACAAAGACTGGGGGACTTTTCAGCAAAAGGGGTGATCTTGGAATTATTTTCGCTTTTATTGATACAGGAGGTAGATGAACAAAAAGTGACTTTTGGTCAGGTCTATTTTGAAATCAGGAGAATGCACAGGGTGGTTATGAGGTCCTCCTGGCCTAGGATGGAGATATCTTTTTTTCCTAATGTGTTTTGAGTGTCAACAGGGTGCTTGGTTGGCACTGTGCCAGGATTCTGGGCCTGGATAGTGTTCGGAGTGTTAATTTTTTTTTTTTTTTTTTTGAGATGGAGTCTTGCTCTGTTGCCCAGGCTGGAGTGCAGTAGCAAGATCTCAGCTCACTGCAACTACTGCCTCCTGGGTTCAAGCAATTCTTCTGTCTCAGCCCCCTGAGCAGCTGTGATTATAGGCGCGCACCACGACGCTCAGCTAATTTTTCTATTTTTAGTAGAGACGGGGTTTCACCATATTGGTCAGGCTGCTCTCGAACTCCTGACCTCAGGTGATCCACCCACCTCGGCCTCCCAAAGTGCTGGGATTATAGGCGTGAGCCACCGTGCCCAGTCAGGAGGGTGAACTTTGACTTGTAGCTCTGCTAGCACTGCCCAGATCCCTATGTGAGTGTAGGAAGGGCTTTGAGCATGGAGAGGGAAGTTCCTCCTCTGTCCCAAGGATCTCAAGAGTAAGTAATGAGAGCAGAGGCCTGGCCAGGCAGACAGGTTATCAGAAATCTTGGGTGATGTCCCAGCCCTGTGTATTTTCAAGTCAGCAGATATTTGCTGAGCACCTCTTATGTCCTAGCCCTGGGTATATGATGATAAGCAGTTATGGCATCTGCCTGCACGGAGCTTGCAAGATAGAGAAGGGGAGGAGAGACAGCTTTGCTTTCATCCTTATCCTTTTTTTTTTGAGGCTGGGCTCAAGCGATCCTCCTGCCTTGGCCCTCCTGAGTAGCTGGGACTACAGGCGCACACCATGCCCAGCTATTTTTTTTTAAGCAAAGATGAGGTCTCCCTGTGTTGTACAAGCTGGTGTCAAATTACAGGCCTCAAGTGATCCTTTTGCTTCAGCCTCCCAAAGTGCTGGGATTGCAGACATAAGCCTCTGTGCCAGGCCAGAGAGAGCTTTTCTATTGAGCAAAGGGTCATACCTTCTTGGCCATGCTGACCCTGGGAGTATGGTGCCCAACATGCAACTAGATGCTCAGGTTTTTTCCACCCACTTACCCACACCAAAATAAAACAAACAATAAAAACCACTCACAGGAGCTTGGGGCCAAACCTGGTACTGAGAGAGGCCCTCTCACGGGGATTTTTGCTACTTCTCAGCTCTGGGTTTGGAGCCTCCAGGTGGACTACAGCAGAGGGGCCTGCCGCTGGCCAGGACATGGCCTGGGGAGATGGCTGGTGGGTCTCAGGCAGAGGGGTGTGCAGAAGCCTTGCTGGAAGGGAAAGATAGGAGAGCTTGAATTACAGAACTGTGCAGTTTGATGGGAACTGGGTCATCAGACCTGGGTTCTGTTCTGGTTCTGCTCCCCATTTGCTGTGTGACTTTGGGCAAGTCCCTTCCCTCTTCTGAGCCTCAGTTGCCCCATCTTTAAAGTGGATGGCATTGAGCTAGAAGCAGGATAGCAAATAGAGTTTATCTCACCTGCCAAAGCTGGTTGCCGTTGACATCCTTGAGCCGTGTCTTGAACAGCTGCCTGGACTCAGCAGGAAAGCCTACTGTTTTGCAGGCTTGCAGACCCCAGGCCTCATTATCCCCGAGTTCCTTCCCGTGCTGGTATTCTTAGATTCTTCTGTGCTTTCTTCTGTCTCCTATGCCACTCCCCACCAGCTGGTTGTCTGCCTTCTGCTTAAACAGCTCCATGATAGGGAATTGCCATCTTCCCTCAGACAGAATTGTTAGATTGTTATTCCTCAGGTTGAGCTCAGCTGTGCCTCCCTGAACTTGTGCCTGGAAAAATGCTTTGGGTTCAGGCGTAGGTGATGCCCTTAGATACTTGGCACGTCAGTAATCAGTTTACAATTTCTGCCTTCTGGAGGCATATAGAATGCTGCTTTCTAACATTTGATGACAGTGACAGAGATAGCATGTATATATCCTTTGAAAAAAAGTGCTTTAAAAACACTGTCACTTGGTTTATGATGGCAAAGCTGTGAAGCTAGCATTGTCCCTTCCATTTTATAGGCGAGGAAGGGGAGGCTCAGAGAGTTAACAGAGCAGCCCTCTGGGACCCAGCCTGTGCACCTCTCGCCAGCTGCGCTCCTCCTCCCCGGCCCGTCCCCAGCCTTCTGTTCTCCTGGCTCCTCCGAAAGCCCATGGCCTCCCATTCTCTCGCCCTCCGCAGGTTTCCATGTGATCCCCACTATCTCAAGCATCGTCCCGGAGAGCTGCCTGCTGATCGTGGTGGGGCTGCTGGTGGGGGGCCTGATCAAGGGCGTAGGCGAGACACCCCCCTTCCTGCAGTCCGACGTCTTCTTCCTCTTCCTGCTGCCACCCATCATCCTGGATGCGGGCTACTTCCTGCCGCTGCGGCAGTTCACAGAAAACCTGGGCACCATCCTGATCTTTGCTGTGGTGGGCACGCTGTGGAACGCCTTCTTCCTGGGCGGCCTCATGTACGCCGTTTGCCTGGTGGGCGGTGAGCAGATCAACAACATCGGCCTCCTGGACAACCTGCTCTTCGGCAGCATCATCTCTGCCGTGGACCCCGTGGCGGTTCTGGCTGTCTTTGAGGAAATTCACATCAATGAACTGCTGCACATCCTTGTCTTTGGGGAGTCCCTGCTCAATGACGCCGTCACTGTGGTGAGGAGGCTAGGGCCATGCCCATGTCCAAACAGGGTACAAACCCAAATCCAGGCCCAGCAGTGAATCCCTCATCCGCCTGCAGAAAATAGTAATAAAAACAGCTAAGACCATTCCTGCTTCCTGTGTGCCAGGCACCATGCTGAGCCCTTTGACGTGGATTATCTCATTTAAGTCCTCATGGCTGCCTTAGGAGGTGCTTGATTCTCATTTTCCAGAGGAGGAAACAGGCCCAAAGAAGTAAAATAACCTACTGGAGTGTGAACCAATTTGTGATTGAACCAGGTCTGTCTGACCCCAGGGCCTGAGCTCTCGGTTTTGCTGGATTATGTGCTCACCCCTTGACTTGACTTGCTTTTTGTTTTTTAAGAAACAGGGTCTCCTAGGCTGGCAAAATGGTGTGGTCATAACTCACTGCAGCCTCAAATTCCTGGGCTTGAGATCCTCCTGCCTCAGCCTTCCAAGTGGCTAGGACTACAGGCATGCACCACCACACCTGGCTAATTTTTTAACTTTCTTGTAGAGATGGGGTTTGACCATGTTGCCCAGGCTGGTTTTGAACTCTTGGCCTCAAATGATCCTCCTGCCTCAGCCTCCCATAGTGCTGAGATTATAGACCTGAGCCACTAAGTCTGGCCCTTCACTTAATATTTTAATATGATCTTGGGCAAATTACTTGTACTCTCTGTGCCTCAGTTTCCTCTTCACAGACCATATCATCTGTGAGGGGCCTTTCAGCTCTCATGTTGGCTATATCTTGCATTAGAATTTGGTTTGTGCATAGTTTTTTGGGCAGAGATTATGGGAAGGGCCTTGTCTCCAAAATCTCCAGAAGGTAATGAGTAAAAGAAGTTGGCCACTTGCTTGCTGTGTGACCTTGAGCAAATGCTATACCTCTGTGGGCCTCACCTGTTGTTGTTGTTGTTGTTGTTGTTGTTGTTGCTGAGATGGAGTCTTGTTCTTTCTCCCAGACTGAAGTGCAGTGACGCAATCTCGGCTCACTGCAACCTCCATCTCCCAGGTTCCAGCAATTCTCCTGCCTAAGCCTCCCAAGTAGCTGGGATTACAGGCATGTGTCACCATGCCCAGCTAATTTTTGTGTTTTTAGTAGAGACAGGGTTTTGCCATGTTGGCCAGGCTGGTCTCAAACTCCTGACCTTAGGTGAGCTGCCAGCCTTGGCCTCCCAAAGTGCTGGGATTACAGGCGTGAGCCACCACACCCGGCCGGGCCTCACCTTTGATAGTTACAAAGTGGCAGAGGATTAGTGCTTTCCTCCAGGGTCTGCACTTGGTGACGCCATATACACCTCACACACCCTTCCTCCCAGCCGGTTTCCTTGGGAAACAGATGTGTGCATGTGCCTACTCACGTCGTGTTGTGAGAACACTCCTACCCCCTCCTAAGCTGTCCCCCTCAGAGCAGCTGCACACACAGGAAAGCTCAAGGGCACATGTGCATGCTCAGGCCATGACTCCCTCCTCTGCAACACCTCAGAGTAGAGACAGACTGGTGTTCAGCTGCCAGCAGCTTCGGCTTCCTGTTCCTCCCCTGCCTACTCATGGAGCTGGGCAGAGCAGTAGCCTGGCCTGAGCAGGCAGGCCTTTGTCCTGGCCTCCTCCAGTACCAGCTCTTGCCCAGGGTTACCACATGAGCCTCAGTTTCCCCATCTGTGACACAAGGATTACAGTAGTCTGTCGTCTTCCCAGGCTTCTTACAGGGTTAAGCCAGTGGGTGCCAAAGATAAAGGCCTCTCCAGTGGGATCTGGGTGTTGGGGTTCAGTTTAGCACTACTGTGGAGCTTGGGGCATGGTTGCATCGAATAGGTAACAGACCTGGCCACTTGTGAACCAATGGTCATGTCTCCCAAAGGCCATGGCAGTGGTGGTAGTGATTGCTGGTGTTCACTGGGTGCTTCTTGTCTGAATGTGTATTGCCTCATTTTTATTTATTTATTTAGAGACAGAGTCTCCTTCTGTCACACAGTGTCACCCAGGAGTACAGTGGCACAATCATAGCTCACTACAGCCTCAGACTCTTCAAATGATCCTCCCCTCTTAGCCTCCCAAGTAGCTGGGACTGCAGGTGCTGGCCATCACACTCAGCTAATTTATTTATTTGTTCATTTATTTTGTAGATATGGGGTCTTATTTTGTTGCCTGGGCTGGTCTCAAACTGCTGGACACAGACGATGTTCCGTCCTTGGCCTCCCAAAGTGCTGAGATGACAGGCGTGAGCCGCTGTGCCCGGCCTGTGTTGCCTCTTTTAATCTATGCAGTAACTCCATGAGGTTGACACAGTTATTATCCTAGTTCTTTGAGATGAGGAAACTGAGGAACAGAGAGATTACATTAGCTTGATACATGATATAGCTGAGGTTCAAATCTGTAGTCTTAAGTCCAAAGCCCAAGGGCTTACCACTGTGTTACTTTGCTTCTCTGTAGTTCCAGGGATAATAGCACCAGGCCAGAAAGGAGGACCTTCCCGTCTGTGCCCACTCCATGGGCCCATGTGGTGGACCATGAGGACCCATGAATCCCCTCAGTCCAGGAATGAGTCTGCTGCTAGAGCCCTGCCCTGTCCCCCAGATTGCTGGGGCCGGGCAGCATCAGGCCTGGCCAGTGCCCAGCATCTCCCCTTCCTGCTTGGCCCAAGTCTGGCCTTTCTGAAGCTCTGGGCATGGGTGCGAGTGCTCCATTTCCCAGAGAGTAAAGCTGGAGGCTAACCCTCAGCTGCCTGGTCACAGGTCTGTGCCCTGGAGCAGGTCACTCCTCACAGTCCATTCCTCCTGCTCTAGGTCCTGGGGGCTTTGGAGGATTCCCTCTCATGGATCATCAGGTCCTCCCCTTCTTTCCCCCAGGCCTGGAAACTCCCTGCTTGTTTCTGGTAGAGCTGTCTAGGACAGACTTGAGTAGGCCAGGCAACTCAGGAAGCCAGCAATAGGAGCCAGATCCTCAAAGCTGTCTGCTGGGGAGGTCTCAGCCCATGGCTGTCAGGGAACAAGCTCTGGGCCCAGTTCTGTTTCTGGGCTGGGGGGCCCGGCATGTTTTACCACAGTGAACCTCAGTTTAGCCAAGGAGCATCCTTGACCCACCTGCCTCGCATGGTTGTTGAGTGTCAACTTGGATAAAGACCATCAAAGGGCTTTTTTTTTTTTTTGAGACAGAGTCTAGTTCTGTCGCCTAGGCTGGAGGGCTGGAGTGCAGTGGTGCAATCTTGGCTTACCGCAACTTTGCCTCCTGGGTTCAAGCCATTCTCCTGCCTCAGCCCCCCAAGTAGCTGGGATTACAGGCATGTGCCACCCCACCTGGCTAATCTTTTGTATTTTTAGTAGAGATGGGGTTTCACTGTGTTAGCCAGGATGGTCTTGAACTCCTGACCTTGTGATCTGCCCACCTCAGCTTCCCAAAGTGCTGGGATTGTAGGCGTGAGCTACCACACCTGGCCAAATCAAAGGGCTTTACAGTGTATGAGATGCCACTTAAACATCTGATGATAGTTTTGCAATGACCATCTATTTCCCATCCCAGGAGACAGGGATGCCTCAGAGAGCCTCTAGTTCCATAGCATCTGAACTTGGTTGTTCATTGCAGCCCCTGGGGAGCTTGTTACATAGAGATTCCTTAGCCCTATCCAAGAGAGTCCAAGTCCAGTATGGCCTGAACATGTGTATTTTTGGAAAGCTTCAGAGGTTAAGAAATCATGTTCTAGTTCATTGTGTGAACTTGCCTTTTTTGTGCTGAAGGAGGGACTGAAACCCAGTGATGGGCACGATGTGCCCAGGGTCAAGTGGTGAGAGGCAGACTTGATAGCAGCAGGTGTAGCTAACCTGGTTCCCAGCACTTTACTCACTAATTTAGTCCTCACAGCAGTCCTAAAAGTTGGCGTGATTATCCTCATTTTGTAGATGGGAGAACTGAAACACAGGGAGATGAATTTGCTTCCTGTGCACAGCTCAGGAGTGGCCGAGCCAGGATTCCAGCCCAGACAGTTTGGCTTCAGGGTCGTCGTAGAGCTCCCCAGGGCCACCCCTTCACCAGTGGGGCACGCAGCCAACTCAGAGCAAGCTCCTCAGCCCCAGGCCAAGGTTTTGAGCACCTGCTTGGCAGTAGGGGTTCTCCGCTACCGTGTGGCCTCTTCTTGTGACTTGTGACCATGGTTAACAGAGGGGACAGGATTGCCCTGGGTAGACCCCAGGAAGCCATGAGGCCAGGGCCCTCTCCTCCCACCCACCAATCTGCACATCCTCCCCAGGTCCTGTATCACCTCTTTGAAGAATTTGCCAACTACGAACATGTGGGCATCGTGGACATCTTCCTCGGCTTCCTGAGCTTCTTCGTGGTGGCCCTGGGCGGGGTGTTTGTGGGCGTGGTCTACGGGGTCATCGCAGCCTTCACCTCCCGATTTACCTCCCACATCCGGGTCATCGAGCCGCTCTTCGTCTTCCTGTACAGCTACATGGCCTACTTGTCAGCCGAGCTCTTCCATCTGTCAGGCATCATGGCGTGAGTCTGTGCACAGCAGGCAGCGGGTTTGGTGGGGTGGGGGCAGAGGCTGCCAGCTTGATCTCCGCAGGCTCGTAGGGTCATGGAGCTCCCAGGGCCCAGCCTTGAGCTCCAGGGATGAGACATGAGCTCCAGGCACCAGACCTGCTTGGTAGCCATTTAAATGGCCAAGGTCATCAGTGGCTTCCTAAAAAAGGAGGGGTACTTCTGCTGGGCACCCCGGGGTCCAGGAATAGAGAGAGGGCATTTCAGGCTATGAGCAGATGAAGCAAAAGTGACCTACATAAGGGCAAGCCCAGGGCACAGGAGGGAAAAACTTTGGAAGCCACTAAGCTTCCAGTTGAGGAAAGCCACAGCCCTGCTACTTCACTTGTCTCAAAGGGAGTCCCCTCAGCAGCCCCAGTAAGGAGGCTGGAGGCTGGAGGCCTTTGTGGAAGCAAGGAGTCTCACCAGGCCTGAGTCCTGGCGGTCCTGAGGCCCCACTGGGCCTGGAAATGGGGAGAATGGGATGTGGACAGGCAGTGAGGGGCAAAGGGGTTCCAGTGCAGAGGCAAGGCACAACTGGGGTTCAGGGCCCCTGGCTCCCAGGAGCAGAGCCTGGGTGCGAGTGCTGGGCTCGGAGGACTCCAAACTCCAAGCAGCTGCTTGGAACAAAGCTCCCTGCAGAGACCCCTGTGTGCAATGGCAGATGCCACCCTTGAGGGGAACAAACTTCCAAGATACCATGGGCCTGTGCCGTTGACTCCTATTGGGTGGAGCGGCAATGTGTGCCCTCAGGGCAAAGGTGCAGGCTTTGGAGCTGGACACAGTGTGCTTTGTGTCTTGGCTTTGCTGCCCAGAGGCAGCATGACAGTGGGCAGGTAACTTTCTTTCTCTTAGAGTCAGACCCCTTATCTTTTTTTTTTTTTTTTTTTATTTTTAAAGTAGGTTTGTTTATTGTTTATCAGTATAACAAGTTTGTTTTAAAAACAATGACAAAAACAAATGCATAAAACGGAAGAGGGCTATTTACCAAGGCCCCAGGCTCCAGGTCTACCTGAGGGAAACAGGGCGGCTGCTTTTGCCCCCTTTTGTTTTTTTTTTTTTTTTTNTTTTTTTAACATGGTGCCACTGTCACCCAGGCTGGAATGCAGTGGCACAATCTCAGCTCACTGCAGCCTCCACCTTCTGGGTTCAAGAGATTCTCCCATCTCAGCTCCTCAGGTAGCTGAGATTACAGGTGCCCACTACCGTGGCTGGCTAAGTTTTGTGTTTTTAGAAGAGACAGTGTTTTGCCACATTGGCCAGGACTGGTCTGAGACAGGGTTTTGCCACATTGGCCAGGACTGGTCTCGAACTCCTGGCCTCAAGTAATCCACCCTTCTTGGCCTCTCAAAGTGCTGGGACTACAGGTGTGAGCCACCCAGCCTAGCCAAGATCACTGTTTAAAAATGGAGGGATACACCTTTGTCTGTAGGGTTGATGCCGGGATGAGTGGGAACAGGGTGTAAAGCAGGCAGCAGGCCCCCGGCCCATAAAGGAGCTCGGAACACGGGCACCTTGGTCATGGCCCCATCACCCCCGGCCAGGGAGGGGCTCAGGCAGGTGCAGCTCGACGCAGAGTCCTGAGCCCACCCTTTCCTGCCCCAGGCTCATAGCCTCGGGAGTGGTGATGCGCCCCTACGTGGAGGCCAACATCTCCCACAAGTCCCACACCACCATTAAGTACTTCCTGAAGATGTGGAGCAGCGTCAGTGAGACCCTCATCTTCATCTTCCTCGGCGTCTCTACCGTGGCCGGCTCCCACCACTGGAACTGGACCTTCGTCATCAGCACCCTGCTCTTCTGCCTCATCGCCCGCGTGCTGGGTGAGGGCCAGGGCTGGGGCAGGGTAGGGGGGTAGGGTGTGGTGTGGGGGGTGAGTGGGCTATGGTGCAATGTGTGGAGGGGCCAGGCTGTGTGGTGTGTGCCTGTGGTATAGTGTGTAAGTATTATGTTGTGTGGAGGGGTGGGGCTGTGGTGTGTGTATGCATATTGTGTGTATGGTGTGTATATATTGCATTGTGTGGAGAAGCTGAGCTGTGGGGGGTTTAGGCTGTGGTGCAGTGTGTGTGTGCTGTGTATAGTACATTGTGGCGGGGCTGGGTGTGTGTCTGGAGGAGCTTGGTGTGTGTGTGTAGGGGCTGGGTGTGTGTGTGGAGGGGCTGGGTATGTGTGTGTGGAGGGGCTGGGTGTGTGTGTGGTGAGGCTGGGTGTGTGTGTGGTGGGGCTGGGTGTGTGTGTGTGGAG